ACACAGGTTGAGAACCACTGGTCTAGAACCTGTGTTGTGTCACAGTGTTCTCTATGCTTAAGGCAAGAAAGAGAACTCTGTGATAGGCAGAGAGGCTATCAAATGAGTTTGACAGGTCACATTATCAGGCTCTTCTTTTGGCTTTTTTTTTTACTTATTCAGTTTAAATTTGCACAGCAGCCCAATTCACTTTTGTAAAGGACACCACTGTGTAGATAATTGGACCCTGCCTGCTGGTCTGACAGCCCTCTCATATCAATGAGCACCTCAACTTTCCCAATTTGCCCAGACTGTTTGAAAAAAGTACAGTCTCTAAGTAGCTTGCCATGATAATACAATAATCACTCAAAATGGGTGCTAAGTACACAGTTTGATATGTAGATAGACATTAAATGTAATTCTGTAAATTAATGATTTACAGGAAGACATGGAATAGGGAGCATGTAAATGTTCTACTTAGGGTAACGGGAGGACACAAACTAGCGTCCTCCCGTCACCCTAGGCTCAGTATACCGCGAGCTGTAGCAGTAGCGAGACGCCGCAGCTGAAGCGGATCCCGACAATTATGTCTGGATCCGCCCAGCTGCGTGACTGACAGCTGGCTCTGCCTATCTAGAGCCAGCTGTACCCACCCCCTCCCCCGTCCGTTCCGCCAGTCAGCGCTGGCGGATCGGAGCGGGGAGGGGGGAATCCAGCCCTCCCCTGTCACGGCAGAGAGCCGTGACAGGATCGAGAGGTGAGCGAACGCCGGTATGTGTTCGCTCACCTCCCGATCTACTAAGCCGACCTGTGACAGTCTCATTGTCACAGGTTCGACTAGAACTATGAGGTGGGTGAAAAGCACTCACCTCATAGTTCTCTTTTAACCATGTTAGTTAGGTCAACTGAACTCCAAATAACCCTTATCCAGGGTAATCAAGCCCTGTTTGTCTAATCTTACTTAGGCTATGTGCACATGGTCGCTTTGTTCTCAGTCCCTCTGCTGTCAGACAGTAGAACACAGTAGGATAAGACGCATCCTCAACCTACAACAATACTCTCCCAGACAATACCTTCTTTTGCTTTTCTCTTCAGAAACAGGGAGCCATCTTTATTCAGGTATTCAGTGTCAGCATCTTCTTCTTGGATTGAGCTGTTGGCTAAGAGATTAGCCAATCATATTAATCCTGGTGCCTGTGCAGTTCTTGGCTGTACTCACAAACGTGTGACATAGATCAGTAACTTGCTGCAACCTCTAACCTTTTGACTTGCTACAAAGTTATAATGTTGCAGTCTGATCACTGAGTGAGAGGAAACTAGAGCCAATGCTTCCTTCTGCCTGAATAATCTCTTCACTGGGGCTGTTTATATAATGATAAAAGGTAAAGTTTTTTTTTTTTTTTAATATACCGTTGTTGTATGTTATAGCATCTTAAGAATGAATTCAGACAGACGTGTAAGGTTAATAAAAGGCCCACTGCATCCCAATCTTAAATTTGCCTATCTAACAGGAATTCATTAAGGCAGTCTAATGTAGAAAATAAAATCAGTAACAAAATGTACCTTTAGCATTTTGTTTTGGATTAGAGGCAGCAGAGAATTTACATACATATGACAGTGCCTAGGCACCCTTAGTTCCTTTAGCCTCACAGGTGCCTGTCAGTGTTTTGACATCATCAGTGGTATATGTCTCCCATTCCTGCCTCTGATTACACTGGCAGTTTAGCCTAAAACAGCCTTTTCCAACCACAAAGCCCCTGCCTTCCTCAGGGGTCCCATGAAATGTCCACAGTGTCATGCCTTTTCATGATGCAGGCAGGTTTCTGATATGAAAAGGACTCTTGATGGAAAACCCATTTAGCTGCATTAAGATACAATCTTGTGGGGAAATATGGGAGTTCCAATTGCCAACCTTCATAAAGTGCTATTTGCCATCTTTCATACTCATCCTTTAGCTTCAGGTATGCAGCCAAAGTAATGTGGGAACTCCAGAACTGCATATTTAGACCTGAATCTGTGAGTAAGCAATGGATCTGGAGGATTACCATAACAGATGGACATTTAGAAAGTTGTCAATGGCACAAATGTTTGTCTTTTATAACAGGTTTCCTTTAATAAGGAGCATAGTTATGGACTAGTTTAGACTTTTATACTGAAAAAACCCCCCCCAAAAAAACAAAAACATCTGAATTATGAAACTCATCACATTCAGTAATAATAACAAAGCTTCATTAATTTACCCATATCTTCAACCTAAGACTGGACTAAATGTCCTTTTAATGTGAGCAGATCTGCCATATACATGAAAAAATCCCTATTCCATATTTCTTGAGCAGTACTCAAAGCTCACATGCTATATTTTCCTCAGATCTTTGCTGAGGAAAATATAAAATTAAATTACAGTTTTTATCCCAGTATCTTGAAAGTCACAATGATTATAATTATCCTTCAAAACAAAAAGAAAATGCTGTCCTATGTTACCTTAATATACAAGTCTTCAAATGTCAACAAAGCATTTGTGATTCTTCTTCTGTTTATAAAATATCTAATTTTGGAAACATACTCATGTTTTTACTCTATGTAGGGTTGTTGTTGTTATTATCTTCTCTCTTAAATTGCCCAGTACGTGTTTTTTGAATCAATGGACTATTCATAGCAAACTGTCCACCATTCAATGTTTTGGAAACATTATTGCTTGGGGAAAGATCTGGATTTGCTCCAAGTGGAAACACTGGAGATTGATCACAACTGAGCAAATTCTGATCATCAAAAGATCTGAAAGAAGAAGATAAAGGTGGGCCTTGAGTGGTCAAGGTAGACCTTCAAAGAAAACAAGTGATGAAGCCTGTTCAACTGAAGCCCGTAGTTTAATGTGTTTTTTTTTTTTCACAAGGAAGATATTACCTCCAGTAAGCTGCTCCGAAGCCCACTTAGAAAAAAGCCACACAAATAACTACTAGGATTAAGAGGAAAACTAAAACCTAATTTACTTACCTGAATCCTCAGCCATCTGATGTGCTGAGTTCCACATTCTTTACACTCTGTTCACACCTAGGCGTATATAATATGCGCGTTTGTCGCGCGTTTTTACCGCGATTCGGACAAACGCGTGTTTCTGAGGGCTACTTGGATGTATCCCAATGGAAACGCGCGACAAAAACGCCGCAAAGAAGCTCATGTACCTTTTCAGGCGTAGGCCGTTTTGTAGCGCATTCAGACGGGCTGAAATACGGCAAGGTGTGAACCATACCCATAGAAAACAATGGGATTTTTATGTTTGAGCGTTTTGTAGAGTGTTGAACGCGCTACAAAACGTACAGGTATGAACCAGGCCTTAGTTTTAGGCTGCAGAAGGGAAGAGTCTTTCTTCCGGTGCGCACATTGCTGCATGGGTGATGTGGACACTTTCTGTTGTTTGTCCAGTGGTGGGTCCACTCGGGCTCCAGAGGGAGGTGTGCAGCTGTGTGTTGACACTGCTATGAGGGGCAGCAATAGGACCAGAGCAGTGGACCCAGACTAAAGCACTGGATCATTTGTACCCACTCCTGGAAGAGGTGCTCTGGATGGTTATTTGATGGCGAACTCAGGTAAGTAAAATATGTTAGTGGGTCATTCATTGAGAATGAACGGTAGATCTAGAGATAATATATGCAAATCTTAATGTTTCCTGTTAAAGTTGAGCTTGGCCCTGCCTGTTCCTGCCACCCACTGGCTGAAGACACATTCAATGGCCATTAAAGAGGCTTGAAAGGCATGAGGGAATAGGCCAACATACACTTAGGTGGAGTGTTACGTACACCACCAGCTTTTCTGTATCTGTGGGGTGCCAGTCACAGTTTTGCGTGGGCTTGGGCATACTCTAGCGAACTTGGTTCACACCAAGCCCCCCACACATCACTGAATAAAAAAATCTGTACATGTGGTGCATAGGCAAGGGTGACATCAAGCTCCAATTGTGAAATTGGCACGAGGGTGATGTCACTCCCCACACCACAAAAGCCAGATTAATGGTGGGTATATTATCCTTTTTTCCTCCAACAGGTGTTTATTTTAGTTGCTTATACTGCCTTTTAGCAAGAGGGCCTGCACCCGGGTGACACCAAAATGACTGAGTCATTTTGGTATCACCCCCTCTAAAAAGTCAGGCACTTGGTCATGGACCGAGAGCCCGACAGTGTCAGGAGAGAGGAGGGGACCCGGCAGCATACCTCATGACCACGCGCATTCACGATGACGTCACGGCGGGATGTCACCCGGTCTCCGCTCCGAGTGACACCCGGCCGCCCCTGTGTGTGGAGCTTTTCAGTGCTGACAAATACGTGCGTCAAACACCTATGGTGTCAACTATGGGGACCTGCCTAAACTAGCCAATTTGTATCCAAATCAATTACATACTTGTAGGTAGATCTAAAGTAGATTGTGCCATTAGACTGCACATTTGCTCTGGGTCATTCCTTTGTAAAGTACTGAAAGCATAGGTTCTCTTCTTAGTAATTACCCCATCTACACTTTGCCATTGTATCCTTGAACAGGTGCACCTGCGACAATGACAGTACCACGTCCTAGAGAGTGTTGTCAGGTGTTTGCACAATGCAACACAATCACATAAGGCCTAGTGTGCTGATAGCAGGAAATCCAGACAGGCTGATGCTGTCATATCTACAGAGGGGGAAACACGTGGACTGCCAGCTCTGATCCTGAAAAGAGCTTCTGCAGCAGCTGGGGCAACTTGTGAATGAGTTGTATGAAAGAAGAACCCGGATCGTGATGTAACACTTTACCTAGAAGCCACAATCGCTTTACTACACCCCTCCCTTTCCCCACGTGCGGCAGCAATAGCGCCAACAGCAGCAGTAGGGCTGCCAAATGTGGGACAAAGGTCTAGCAGAGATCGGCAGCGTGTACTCCAATCCCCTGTCATGTCCATCCTCCTATCGGGAGCCGGCTGCTCTCCCCACCCCTTAGCCGGCTCCCCTGCTCCTCCTCCTCACTGTGCTCTCTCCTCGCTCAGGCTTAGGGGAGCTGCACTCGCTGAAGATGGCGGACTGCAGCACACTGCTGGATGAAGATCTGGAGTCTTTCGTGTTCAACTACCTGACTGACAGCCCGGTAAGCAGCACAGTCCCTGGGGATCAGGTCAGGCACTGCCTTTGGGGACCTCTGCTCAGTGCATGCACTTATCCATCAGCTTGTGCATTCGCAGTAACAGCCTTTGAGGGGATACCCCCTCTTTTTTTTTAATCACACACCCCATGCTTTGCAGATGAGCCCATGTGCAGGTATATGATGAGCACATCTTGGCCATGCACCCCAGTTTTGACATCTCCACTAGCGCTGCACCCTCTCTCTCTCTCTCATTCAATGCATGCTCCTCATTCCTTTCACGTGTTTTACGTCCGATCTGTGCACAATCGCCCCCATACCATCTTCCCTTTACAGTCACTTAGATCTGATGGCAGGCTGCACCCCAACTTTTGTTGCGCTCCGAGTGTGCAGTTCAGCACCATTTGCGGTGAACTTGGGTGAAGTGTGCAGGTAGATGTGTCAGTGCTGGAGTCACTTCCATTCATTGCTCGGAGCTGCATGTGTCACTTCATCTGACACGTGGAGGAAATCAGGGAGCCCCCGGGGGGGAGGTCTATAACCGGCACCAGTATTGGGGTGCTGCTAGCCCATGCCATGGCAGGATGTTCCATGCGGTGCTGGAGGGGGCGTGTAGCCGGCCTTATCCCTCTGCCTATCAGCGGCTATCATCTCAATGCACTTTCGCAATCATATCTCCATGTGCCGGCAGATCGCACATTTTATATAACACTGGAACTGCCTTCATTTCCTACTCATACCATCTGTGATCGGCAATGTATAGATCGCAGTCGTACATCGATGCCTTTGTAAAGCGATCTAGAAGTATCAAAGTTCTGCCGATGCCTTATATATAATGCAGGACTGAACCGTCTCTGTATATATCTGCCATCAGATGAATGAGGAGCTGGCTCCTGCAATGAGATCACTCGCTGTGTATGAAGCTGGCTGCTTGTGTGGCTCCCTTTTCTGATTACTAATCATAGAGATGTGTAGTTTTCCTGATCAGTGGAGGCGTTGTCCTTGGCAACCAATAGGAGGCTTGCGTTTGCAGAGCTGTCTAAAAGTGACAGCTGTCACTGGTTGCTATGGGCGATGCAGAAAACTTCCCATTCCCATTAAAATCGCATAGCTAAGGCATGTAAAACGACATGCATTCACATGCTTTTTTTGAAGGTAGCATTTTGCAGCGCATCTCTTATAATAGGAGTGATGGCACCTCTGAAAAACGCATGCTATCGCATCTCTTTTAATAGAGATCTATTGAAGGAGATGCGTTTGCATGCTTTTTTCGGAGGTACTATCACTCCTATTATAAGAGATGCGTTGCATAATGCTACCTTCGGAGGTACTATCACTCCTATTAAAATAGATGTGGTGCGAAAAAATGCAGCCTGCTCTATTTTTTTCTAACTGCATCTACGCCATTGAAAACCACAATTTGTTTTGTGTGTATGGGTTTTTAAAATGTATTGGCTGGGTATGGGCTCTTATAGGCGTCTTTGTTATATAGATGCTTTGCAATGAATCCAGGACCAGCGCCAAGTGGTTAGGTAATAAATACTCGTGGAGCCTGATGATGAGCAGTCTATTGCACATTTTGTACTCTGCATGATCCCCTAGCTCTAGCTTGAGACAGGTGAATTGTTAATGTGGGGAGGCATCTTTTTACTCCAGGGGCTGCTTGTTTTGTCCTATGTACCTTTCCTCAGTGCTCAGTGACCACCTCCAGGTTTGCAGATGAGCTGCGTGTTATTGTAGCTGCTGTCATGTTTAGTCATAGGACTGTGGAAGTCATTCTGGGCTGTCAGTTTCATAACATAGCTGCAGAGTAGTGGTTACAAAACAGAGCCGTACTGGGCATGTGTGATTTGCAAGCCAGCTCCAGGCTGTTATTGGGAGACAATTCTTGATCTATTGACATGTATAACAGATAGTGACTTGACTGCATGAATCATCCCTATCAAGATTGCAGCAGCCACATACAGAAAACAGATTGCTGGACCTTGACAGAGCAATGCCCCATAAGTTTGATATGGTCAAGCAACTCTTAATGAAGAATAGCCGAATACAACGCAGAATGCGTAGCGTTGTGTTTGGCTATAATCGGTCCATGGTCTGTTTGCTTTAATTATAAGGAAACGATTGTAACAAAGGCGTTGGGTGAAAGCGTTAAGTGAGATCACAGGAGGTAGAAGATGAGAAATTTCCTGAATTTCAAAGCTTATCTCCCAATTTAGAAGCAGTCAATACCATGCCTCACTTCAGTAGCAATACTGCTGGTGAAATCACAAGCCTTAGCTGAGGCTCCATCTCACATCCTGTACACAAGATGATTTGTGCTGCATGTACTTCATCCATTTATAGGCAGCTATGTCAGCCTGGGCTGCACATCTTTTCTCCAGTCACAAATCACGACTACAGGTGCGATTTTTATCTTTATGGAGCTGAAATGGCTCCTCGAGAGCTTGCGGATTATATTGTGTGCTGGGAGATTAGAGCAAGGAATATGTTAAAGTATGATTTGATAGAATCCTATTCTGATCCAGCATCATTACCTCTGCACCTTAAAACTAAATTAATTAAACAAAACTTAAGTCTATAGCAAGCATTTACAGGTATTCTGCTACGAAACAATTGGATGATCTGACCACCACGGCAAATGTTCTCATATTGTGATTGAACTTGGGTTAAGAATAGTGATAGGCTGGTAATTTCCATTCTGGCCAACAGATTCTTACTTTGTGTTTGATGGGCTTGGAGGTAGCAACTAGACATCAGATTATTTAACTGACTGTTATCACCCGGATCAGGCAACAATCCGCTTATCTCGGTGGGAAGTCTTCTCTTAAATGAACCTGTAAAAATGAGAGAATCTCCTGATAAGCATCCAGTGCTCTTAGCCGTCTTGGGCATTTTAGTGGGAGATCCATAATCTGCCCATTTTCCTATTAATAGCCAAGCTTGCTAGAACATTTCTGCAAGTGATGCTGCAAAATTGTTCAATTTGTTCTGTGCGCTTATTACCTGATGATTGCTAGCAATGGTGATGATAGCTCCAGCGCTAGAGGAAATCGGGTGGTTTACAACTACAAAATCAGGTAGACTGCTCAAAGTGAATTGTCCTGATTGGATGATATGAGAAGCAGAAAACAGCATTGATGAAAGAGTTCATGAAAGCTCCTCAATCTTTAAAATGGCCAGTTGGTCATTCAATAGTGCTTTTGATAACCGTGCAGAAGATGAAACTCTCTGTGGGCAACGTATTTGGAAATGTGTTTTGTTTTCTCTTGTTTTCTAACTTTGATACAGTTTGCAGTGCTTATTGTGGTCTGCTGAATGCACTGGTTGTTTTAAGAGATGTTTCAGTGGTTGTTTAGCAATAAAACTATGGCGACAAGTAAACAAAAGAAGTCCATTCAGGTACTAAGAGATTATTAGCGTTGAAAGTTGTTTATAAAGAAAACCTTTACAGTAGTTGAGTTTGGTTTTCTGGTTAGATCTTATGTTATGGATACTAGTGTTATGTAGGTTAATACAGCAGATTTGATGTAGTTTTATCCATGCGTGATAGCCTTTATAAGGCCACCTCATTTTTTTTTTACTTACTATAGACAGTTTATTTTAATACTGGATTGATATAGCGCCAACAGTTTGCGCAGCGCTTTACAATATAAGGAAGACATTACAATACAAGATGGTAAGGAGGGCCCTGCCCGTGAGGGCTTACAATCTAAAAGGGAGGGGCAAGTGATACTTGAGGAGGTAGCTGTGTGGGGATGAATTGTTTGAGAACGTGATGGTTGAGTGGTTAGTTTGAGGTTAGATAACAAGTGAGTGAATGATAAAGACAAGATAATAAGGAGGGCCCTACCGATGAGAGCTTACATTTTATGGTATTCAAGTCTCTAGGGTATTTTCTCTGTCGCTATGTACTATGTAGCCAACAGTCTGTGGACACTTGACCATCACACCTAAATAAGCTTGTTGAACACCTTATTCCAGTACCATGGGCATTCATATGGAACTATAGCCCCCCCCCCCCCCCCTTTGCAGCAAGATCTTAGAGTGCGTCTGCGAAAATGTGTGTCCGTTCGTCCAAAAGAGCATTCAAGAGGTCAGGTACTAATGTTGGACAAGAAGACCTTGCCGTGACCTAAAGTTTCTTGACTACAAACTTCTTAAATCATGTATATATGAAACTGGCCATGTGCAACCGAACCGAACTCCAAATTTCGGTGGTGTCCACACTCTTTTGGCCATATAGTGTAAATATGTCCAGTACCCATAATCGGACGCTATCAGCTGATAGGTCTTGGAGGTGGGCAAAGAATTCACTCAGGTTTTCCATCCCTAGTCTATTATTGTTTTTTTCCAGATTTCTTGCTTTGCAGAATGGTTGCACTTGCTCATTACACAACATTATGTAGTCTGCCTTTCTTGAGTGTTCTCCATTCAAAGAAATGGATAGTTAATGACGATCAAAGGTCATGGAGTATATTGTGCAGTGATGAGACTCATGCTGGCATCTTAAACATATGAAATCCTTAGAAGAGGATTGGATTACCTACATGAGGTCATTAATGCACTATTTCTCCAACTACTGTCTGTAGCATATAGTGCCCATAGCAGAGGAGTACTGCCCCTCTTCTATGGTGTCCCTAAGATTAGCAGCTCATGGCATGACTGTCACTCTTGTGTCTTTATAATTACTATAAATCGGGCAATTTAGATGCAATGTTTATTTAATCACCATTTTTATATGTATTGTTTTTCTCTGCCACCTTACTGGGCCTTAAGCAGACAGATTATTGCTTCTTATTGTCTTTCTGAGCCCCAAAGGCAAAAGGGACATGAAACAAGATTAGTAATACAATGGAGGAAAAAAAAACTATGCTGATCCCTCCACGCCTATGGCTGCAACAATAGTCAAAGTAGGATTACGTAGTAAGTGTCCGTGATAAAATATTACCAAACACTGATGGTGAGCAAACAGTGTTTGGCTGGTACCGACCAGGTACGCTTGT